AGGCGGACCGGGATTCTAACCAAAGTGGTTTGCTGATAATTTGGGGAGGGTGGTTTGGTACGCCATGCTACATGTGGACTATGTTGCTTATTGCTGTTGTGTGGTGTATACTGAAGAGTTTCAGGAGCATTTATGGTACGTGGTAATATTAAAGCTTCTAGATTTTAACACTTGTTGTTGTTGTTGTTCAAGTAGCTAACGAAGTGCAGTTATGGGCCGCGGCGCGTGGTTGGAAGCTGCTATCATGGTGGACGATCTTCCTTCGTTTAATGGTTTGGTGAAATTATGTATTCGCGAACATTTGCGGACATGGAACAGGATGTGAAGAAATTTCAGCAGGCTACTGCGACGGCCTTTTATAAGCGGTCAGTGGTTACTCGAACTCGGTACAAAATTAACTTAACTTAACTTTACCTCCCTATAAATATACTAAGTGCATTCCATTTTATTATTGAAACCTCTCAAATTATTTCTTAACGCTCGCCATTGCCAAATTGATACATGTTGTTCCATTTAACCTCGGCCCGTAACCAAAATTCCGCCCTTGGTTAGAGCCCAGCTCCCGACTTAGACCCATATATGAAATTTGAAACTTCGGGCACCTGCTACCAAGGTTACGGTAAACTATAGTACTATAAAAGCTAAGGGACCCCGATTCCTTTATACATCCGCTGCTGGTTTATTTAGAATGTTTACAAATTATTTATCTACATATCAGTATCCTACGCTACCATTATACTCCAGGCTGTGCCGTTTCATCTTGGCCCGCAAACTCGTTCCCGCCAGATGTGAGAGTCCTGGTCCCCGTCCACCATGGTGGCAGCTTCCAACGACGCGCCGCGGCTCATAACTGCACTTCCTTAGCTACTTGAACAACAACAGTGTTAAAATCTACAAACTTTAATATTACCACGTACCATAAATGCTCCTGAAACGCTTCATTATACACCACACAACATCAATAAGCAACACAGTCCACATGTAGCATGGCGTTCCGAACCACCCTAACCAAATTATCAACAAAACACTTTGGTTAGAATCCCGGTCCGGACGGAGCGTCGTTCGCAGTCGAGCCGCGCGCCAAGGCGGAGATCGTTTTCGTGTTTCCAACAAACGGGAACAACGTTCCAACAGGCAAACCAAATAGTTCCCTAATACATAAGAAAGCTATAATTTGAATATTTTAGAATAGTTTACACAGTCATACGGGGGAATCTCCAGGTCGCTACAGCATCGCCGATAACAATGATCCCGTCCAGCATTTATGACAATTACCTGCAAGACATCCCATTACATCCTACGTCGTATAAATTCGAATCGTACACAAATTCACGTGTGCAAATTCGGGGACATATAATGACCAAACTCAGTTTACTCTCGGTCGCATCTGATGTTGCTGTGTGTTGCCTCCGAAGACAGTCTAGCCTTGCTGGGGCGAAATGCTATGGTTGCCCTCAACATAACACCATCTATCGAGCGAATGCGCATCATGACACTCAAAACATCAGTACTTAAAAGCTTATTTCCCAAATTGTTTACTGAGTCGATTGGCCGGATTCCATCTGCTGCTCATCGAATATGCCTTAAAAAGGACGCTAAACCGTTTGCGATATCGCAGCCACGTCCTATTCCATTGGCCAAACGTACGGTGGTAGAAAAGGCCATACAAGAGATGATTTACAACGATTTGATAGAGCCAGTTAACTGTTCCGAATGGGTGCATCCCATGGTCACGGTGTTAAAAAAGGACGGTACTATGCGCATATGCAACGACTTGAACGCGTTGAACAGTCAGCGTCGTCGAAAAATTCGTTCTTCCCACGGTTGACGAGTTGTTGGTCAAGATAACTGGCGCGCGATTTTTCTCAAAACTAGACCTGAGGAAGGCCTTTTTTCACATGTCACTGACACCAGAATCCAGACCACTTACGGCTTTTCTGACATAGAGTGGTCTATTCCAGTACAAAGACTTGCCGATGGGACTTAGCTCCGCTCCAGCAGCTTGGCAGAAGTTTATGAATCACTCACTAGCAGATCTACTGGGACAAATCGCTTACATGGATGATATATGCGTTTTCGGGAAATCAAGAGATGAGCACGACTCAAGGCTGCGCGCTGTGTTGCAGCGATTGGCGAGCCTAGATCTTCGACTAAACCTGGAAAAGTGTATATTTTGTGCTAGGGATTTCATGTTTCTTGGGTACGTCTTATCAGCTGGTGGAATTAGGCCATGCGCAGCTAATACTCGAGCTATCACGGAAGCCCCTGTACCGAAGAATACATCCGAGGTTAAGCACTTTCTTGGTTTATGCTCGTACAACTTGCGCTATTTGCCCGATTTTGCAACTATAGCGGAGCGATTGAGAATGCTGACAAAAGAAAAAGCTACGTCCGATTGGGGCTCTTCGCAGCAATCGGCCTTTGAAGAAATTAAAAGACGCCTCGTCTCCACCCCAATGCTGGCCATTTTCGACGAAAACTGTCCAACATTCGTCTCAAAGGATGCGTCAAACATCGGTTTAGGAGCGGTCTTGTCTCAAATTCAGAACGGTGAGGAAAAAGTGAGTGCATATGCTTCTAGAAAGTTATCCCCTGCTGAAGTTTCATATTCCGCAGGTGAAAGGGAGGCCCTTGCCTGTGTATGGGCCTGTGAAAAATGGCACCTGTTTCTGTTTGGTCGGAGATTTACATTGCGCACGGATCATGCTGCTCTAACTACCCTCCTCAGCCGAGGAACCAATGGTCATAGGCCACTACGGATTAACCGCTGGTATGCGCGGTTACTGAACTATGATTTTCAAATCATCTTCCGCCCTAGCTCTGAGAACGGTATGGCAGATAGCTTATCACGTCTCCCATTGGATGATTCCGACAAGAATGAAGACTACAAAGAAAAAGTCATGGTTTCTGCTTTACAATCAAGTGAGCTCTCCGCGGTTACTAAACAAGAGCTTCAAGAAGCTAACCGGAGTAATTCATATGTGCAAGATGTCATTCACTATCTCTCTCAAGGCTGGCCTCGCTACGCGAAGTTGAGTGGTGAACTACGGGCGTTTTATGTTTTACGACATGAGCTAGCAGTCGTTGATGATTGCCTTATGCGAGGATCGCGATTAGTAGCTCCACAGTAACTGACATCAAAAATTATCCAATGTGCACACGAGGGACATCCGGGTATCGTAGGGACGAAGCGTCGACTTCAAGAATACTTTTGGTGGCCAAAAATGAATAAAATGGCAGAGGCGTGTGTCCTGTCTTGCGATGCATGTCAGAAGGCTGACAAGAGCTCTAAACCAATCGATGCCCCATCCAGCCTGTTACTTATCCAATGAAACTTTGGTCGAAGGTGGCGATTGACATCATGGGACCGTTTCATTCTGCGCCACAGCACCAGAGGAACTGCTTTGTTGCCATGTGCTATTACAGTAAGTGGCCGGAAATCCATTTGTGTGGCGATGCGACCACCTCAACTGTTATACGGTGGCTGAAACATCTGTTTACTATACTTGGGTTTCCTGAGGAAATTGTGACAGACAACGGACCACAATTCACGAACTATAAGTTTAATCGTTTCTTACAACTTTGTGATATGAAGCACGTACATACTGTCCCGTACAACCCAGCTGCCAACGGCATGGTTGAGCGCACTATTCGCACGCTAAAGGAAACTATACAGACAGCACGTTTGTCCGGCAGGCAGTGGGAAGACGCTGTTTTGGAGGCTCTGTTTACTCACCGAACATCGCACCACGGAGCGACTGATCGCACGCCAGGTGAGCTGATGTTTGGCAGGAAGTTGCGTACGAAATTAAACGCAGCTATTTCGGCTGCAGCAAACAACGACCCCCACCAACTGGAACGTCGCCTGGGTTATCAGTCATCCCACGAAAAACGGGCCACATCGCGGTGTCCTGGAACGTTGGTCAGGATAAAGGAGAGGCAAACACGGAAAGGAGAACCGGCACTGACGAGACCCATCAGAATTACTCGTGCGCTAGAG